TCCATTTGACCGTCAGACTTTACTCTAACAGATAAGCCCTATCTTTCTACCCATTCCTCGGCAGGCCGGGAAAAAAGAAAAAAGCGAAGGGAATCTGGGCGATATCGATATCCATCTCCTCACAAAATGTTGGTACACTATGCAAGGGCACGGGCCAAGCCAGGGTCCTCAGCTCAAAATGGCCCGGTTGTCGAGCGATCATACAACCACAGCATTTGGAATCGTCGATGTGCACTTATGGCCGATATATCCATCATATAATTTCCGTCAACTATAGTATTAACTACATCATAGGTTAGGGACGTGATGTTATGTTTTACATGCCATTCTATGCGTACTCTTGAAACCTTCTAGAAATGTTTCACTCTCACGTTCAATGGTTTCTAATCGAGGGTTGCCTGTAGGATGCACTCTACATGTTTCAAGGGGCACAGATATGTACAACATCACTGTCAGGCATAACCCGGTAACGGTTATTCCTTCAGGGCAAACCCGGAAAGGTGGTCATAATGATCTACTTGCGTTACTGGACATCTAGCGGGATATCGGGAGTTCTCACCGGGTGCTGGAAAATTAAAAAGATACTCGGGCAGCTCTACGTCGATAAATCGAATTTTGAGCACCTATACGATGTGACAGGTAAGTTTAATTATACGAAATATCCAGGCGACGGCGGTCATCCGAGGCGGAATGTGTTGAGTTTCTGATATGCTCCTACATACATTTTCTAGGCATGCATCGGCAAGATCGTGGAAGGAATGTGTGCGCGCAACTAAAGTCATCTTGGCACCATCTAGAAGGAAGGACGAGACAGCACATGCATCACAAATCCGGGTTTATCCCATCCGAAAGAGGCTGTCGTCGGGACCGTGCTCTAAGTGACTCGCCGTTGAATCAGACCAAGATCAAGGCTTACATACAACACCCCTGGTAGCAGTTATCTCGGAAAGCAAACCTATCTCCTCGTCCCTGGGAGTTAAGGGCTCAGTTAGCAACGCTATGCAGCCCTTTCTGGAGGGCAATTTTTTTGTTATCTTAAATTGGGACATGAATCGTGCACATCGCTAGAAATTTTAAAATTTGTCTGGGTTGTCTGGGCAACTAATCTGTCCAGTTCAGTCACATATCACTCTTGACAATTCATAACAGTATAGTAGAGAGTACTTTAGAATCACCAATCCTTGCCAAATTGTTGGATCTCAGGCCCGGCCAAACTAACTACGTGTGGGACCATTATTGTCACAGATTCTCCAACTAAAAAACCTTCTGATACGGACCTATTAAAGGGTTGTTTCCGGGACCCTCCGTTTTAAACGTTCCTTAAAATGACCATCGTCGCTTCCGATCCTAGCAAGCTACTTCTCCTAGGGGTCTACTCATTTATAACCTAACAATTGCAAAGAACCCACCTCTCTGCATAAGTATAGTATACATAGTACTAGCAATTTACAATCCGCGATTACAAAAAAACTCTCAAAAATCTGATTTATGGCCGCGCACAGACCAGATCAAACCCGAGTTCTATATCTCCACGCCATTCTATTCACCCGGTGGAATGCGTACGCACAAGGTGCCGGTATACCGAGTTTACTTCACGCATCACACTGCATATATCAATACTCTCGGTAGGCGTTGTTATAAGATTCTGACCAAGCTCGAGTTTCACCTGTATCCTCTCGTTAATCAACCCCGGATGCTCATCCTCTTGGCAACGGTTAAAAAGACTGTGGTGTGTGGTGGGGTGGGGTGGAAGTGGGGAGGGAAGCATACTCGAACTACCCCGTACCCCATGTTCTTTACTTATTCTGGAAGTTATCCACAGTATAGTACTGTTTAATAAACAGAGCACTATGGAAATGAACATTCGAACACTACACGCAATTTCCAGCCAGGGTTTAACAAACCATTCTCATGCTCAGTGTTTCAATCCAGACTGCGCATAGAAAGCGAGCAGAAAAATTCACCTAGCTGCATAGTAGAGAGTATTTGCTAGGAGCGGAGCTATGACGCAGCTTGAATCTCAATGCCCGCTAAAGAAGTACCTACTCAAATCAAATTAACCAGTGGGATGTTAGTGGTTCGATGAGAGAGGCATCTGATATTGTATGTAGTAGCTGTAGCGCAGGTCCCTCCCACCATCAGAGCGAGATCGCCTGGCTGTTCAATTGGTTGACTCTCAAAACAGTCATTTCTATTATGACTCGGGCTGATGCTGTATGGAAGGTCTTCAAACCAGTGCCTATCTTAATTGTTTTTTTCTCCCAGTTCCTTGTTACGTAACACAGACAGTGCATTGATTTATTGCGCCTCTGCCGGAGCCCTAAACACGATTTTTCGTTTTTTTATTTTATTTTGCTCAATATACCATCGTAGTACGTAGACACATGTGTACTAGAGTTCCCTTGTATCGCGCCGGGAACATCTGAGCATGCTCACAAGGGAGTAACGTATCAGTCCGAGCACTTCGAAGGAGCTCGAGCGTTGCACTCCTCTGAAAGCATTCATCCCGTAATAAACGGAGTAGCAATTCACACTTGACCACGTGTGTGCGTGGCTTGACCATCAACTTTAAATAGCGAAGCTCTGTGATTCCCCGCGCGGAGCTGTCGCGACTCGCAAACCAACCAGTATAGCGACAGCGCGGGAGGCAGAGAGGGGGGGAAGTTGGGGGGTAAGGGACCCGTGACTTGAATACTGATCAAAAAAAAAAAAAAAAACTAGTGATCTCTCGAGGTTTGAATGCTTTAATAGAATGAAACATGTATGTAATAGGTAGCTAAAAAGTTCTTCTGATAGTAATGTAGTAATGATTGAAGTCGGTGTTCCATAATCATTTCAGGTAACGAGCTCATGAATGGTGGGTTCGCTGATCCGACACGACGTGTCAATGTTCTTTAGGACCAGACATATCGGAAACTAGCGAGCGACTGGCGCTGCGGTTTGATTGCCTAGAATACAGCAGCTTGTTACTCAATTCAAGAAGAGCGAGAAAGAAAAAGAAAAAGGTCCGGTTCGAGCCCGAGGCGTAGTGTACCGTACAAAATCTGGAGTAGGTAGATACCCATTAGATATTGTGCATAGTCCGAGATAGTAAGGGACTGTCGCGGTTATCCTACGTAGCTGGCCTAGTCACCGCCTTGATTCCACACAATGGCCGAACGACGACGTCTCGACTCGGGCCAGATATCAAAACAATCTATTTCTTTTTGTTTTATGTTCCTTGAGTTGGCTTCATTCAAGTTTCCACCTGCACTCGGGAGCTCCGGGGAGGGAGGGAAAGAACGAAGGGCAGCCATGGAGCTGCGGAAAAAAATCAATTTTTGGATCTAAAGAAATTGCTATTGCAGGGATCATAGCTGTAATAGAGCCTTTAGCTAACCACATGAGGCTGCGTCGGGGAGAGTGTATTGGGAATCCCGCGACAATTTTATCTTGGTTGTTTCGGTTTCTGGATGTCTACTTATCTGATTCTAGTGTAACAGGGTCTCTCCTCCTCAAGTCGAAAATGTCGAAGTTTCGGCCCTGGGACTTGCCAGGTCGAGACCATGCATCCAACGGTTATGGGCGAGTTAGATATAGCTTACGAATGTGGGTAGGTGTGTGTGGACGTGCACTGCATTGCTTGCAGCTCTGCTTCGATTGTGCCCTTCCAATGGCCAACATCATCTCCATCATACATATGTGCTTGCAGAACGAGGAATCTCCGGGTAGGTGATTTGTGCTGACTTTTCGGATTTTTTTTTTCTTTCTCATTTTCTTACCGGGTTTGTATCTCCTCTCGCTCAACACCCCATGGCCCATATTGGAGCACCTTAGCTACATTGCTGCAGCCTGTATATACATGTATACATACTCTATATTGCACCGATGGGATTGCAATACATACATACTCTAGAGGTAGAGTACACATAACCTGTCTCCACTTGCAATTGCATACAGGTAAGGCAGGAGGGCAGGTTACATAAATGCTACCTCGGCCTCGCGCTGCGCACCGTAGGTACATACTGTACATACACGCAATCCATCCGTATTGTAACCACGATTGCCATGCCACTTTCCTCAGTGGGGCGCTATAACCCATTTGATATAACTAACCGCCTACCACAAAAAAGAATTCCCCGAGTCGACCCCCTTCCCTCATGTGAATCAGTGAGTAAAACGGCCCGGAACCAGGGTATGGTATCTGTTGCTGCTCGCGTGCCATGCAGGAGGGAGGCTAACTAAATCGTTCCGTCAGTTGAGTGCATGGGCAAAGGCGCCGTGCAGCATGCCCATATATCTTTTTCTCTGAGTAGCAAGGTTAGCTTAGTAGCTAACTACTTTATTGTCTGGGTATGGTGGATACATGTAGGTATGGTACGTGCCCATCTTCACCCCCCTGCCCCCTCCCCCCTCCCCTCTCCATCCGACCCCCGGGCTGACAGCGATATCTGTTCCATTCTGTATACGCTGTTTCCCATTTGTATGGAAGGATCATCAATCAATGGCCGCTATAGATATTCCTACACCACCATACCCTAAACGAACAAGTTAATCAATTAATCAATAGAACCAGTACTGTCGAAAGTACTCAGGGAGCAGCGGAGAATGAAGAGGGTGGGGGGTTATGGCTTATGGCTTATGGCTTATGTCTGATTTCACGTGGCAACTAGAATACTGGAATTGAATACCCACCACCCCCCCCCCCCCCCCAAAACTCTCAGAACCACTAACATACTCTTTCATTACAGCACCAATTACTACTTTTAATGTCCCCCATTGAACCTCACACGGCTAGCAAACGTGTATATAAGATTTTCACTTCCCCCGATGCTTTTCTTATTTGAACACAACAATTATCCAGACGTACTATTCGACAGCTAGAGCGTCCTTAGTACTACAATTCTTTTTTTCCAACCCACCCATTTCCCAAATTTCTTATAAGAACAATCCCAGCTCCAGTGCACTGTCAAACCAGCAATATCACACATTTCAAGAAACCCTCACAGCGTCAAAAAACAATGGCATCTCCTATAGCGCAATATCCCAAAACTGGAATCCGAATTATCATAGTCGGTGCTGGCTTTGGGGGTCTTACAGCTGCAATCGAATGCACACTTAAAGGCCACACTGCTATCATAGTCGAGAAAACTCCAACATTTGAACAGCTGGGTGATATTATTTCAATTAGTGAGTATTATCAGTTTGGAATTTGTTACGATTAATGAATTAAACAAAAACAAAAAGTTTGGAATTGGTTGTTACTACTATATATTCACCAACCTTGCAACAACCTTTTCACCACCTCCAAAAGAAAGATATATGCTAACATCTTATTCTCTATCTTAAAGGTACAAATGCAGGCCGAATCATGTCACGATGGGACCCAGCACTCGTAGAGGAGAAGCTGCGCCCTGTATGCATGCGCCATTCCGGTTTCAAGATCCAGAACAAAGATGGCCAACAAATATTTTTCCAGGCAGCCATGCCTCCAAACCGTGAGAGACCGATGTACAACGGACATCGAGCAGACATTCACAAGGTGTTCTACGAGTACGCCAAGTCGCTCGGCGTCGAGTTTAACATGGGACAGAAAGTCACTGGATATAAAGAAGATGCAGCCAGCGGCAAAGCCTGGATTGAAACCGAGTCCGGCGAGATCTTCAAGGGCGATGTTGTAGTTGGTGCCGATGGAGTTCGAAGTAGGGCAAGAAAACTGATTCTTGGATACGAAGATAAACCGAGGAGTAGCGGATATTCTGTCTGGAGAGCTTGGTTCAATGCAGAGGAGAACGGTGTCACGACAGATCCTTTGACTAAAGAGTTCGTGGAGAATGGAGATACACACACCGGATGGTTAGGGGACGATATGCATTTGCTAGTAGCGAGCTGCAAAGGCGGAAAGGAAATTTCCTGGGTTTGCACAAGAAAAGTAAGTAGTGTATTCCAGGTATTTTTTTTGAGAAGTACAGCACTAACAAAATTTTACAGGATGATTCGAATCTCGAAGAGTCTTGGTCAAGCAAAGGAAAAGTAGAGGATGTTCTCAACCGCATAAAGGACTGGGACCCAAAATGTCGCGCAATTGTAAATATAACACCCCCACTAAGTCTTTAGCTTTCAATCATTGGATCTCTCTAATACATAATTACAGGTATCAAAATCGCCTTCATGTATGGACTGGAAACTTGTGTGCAGAGATCCTCTACCAACATGGGTTTCTCCCACTGGTCATACTTGTCTCCTCGGGGACGCAGCACATCCTTTCCTTCCGACCTCAGTACAGGGCTGTTCTCAAGCAATCGAGGATGGCTCTGTGCTTGCTACATGTCTCTCCCTATCGCATCAAGACTCCAATATTCCCGCATCTGAGAAGATTCCCAGAGCTCTTCGTGCTTATGAACGACTTAGATATGAGCGTGTGAAATCTGCACAAAAGACTGGCGAGGATCTCCGGGACAAATGGCACAAGTGCGATTACAAAACCGTCCATTTAAATCCTGAGAGCATCAGGATGCCTCGGGAGGATTGGCTGATTAAACATGACAGCGAGAGATTCGTCAGGAGGATGTGGGGCAGCGTTGTAGCCGAGCTGACCGGGGGTCCTGTTATCCCGAGGAAGAGTTTGGCGGCCGGCAGGGAAAGCGACGAGAAGTTTGATAACATCGAACTTCCACCCACACCCCTTTCAACACCAAAGGAAGAGCTAGCTAATCCTTTGAGATAATGAACTTGATAGACATGTATTTGGGAAACGTTTTTCTTTAGTTTTCTTATTTGGGACTTTTTTCAATTATATTATTAGAGGAATATGGTAGGATTTGGGGGTATAGGCATTAGGGGCTTGGCGTTAATCGACCGATACTTGTTACTAACACGTATGCTTCCATACTTTCATTTGTTCGGGGCGGGATCTTTCTTCGTTGGCTTTAGAATTATTTCACTTGTACTATAGAAAGGGTATACTAGGCTACCCCCCCAATAGATAACCACATATATAGCTTTTCATGATCACGGTCACGATCATCAATACAATACTTTATGAGAAAGAAAGACGTTTAAGTAGTTATATGCGGTGATGTGAATCACGACTGAGTAGAGTATGTTGATCTTAATCAGGCCCACATAAGTAGGAAAACATATGATCGAAATATATCTGGTGGCCAATGCGCAGAACAAAAAACAGAAACAGGGCCAGCAGGGAGATCATTTCTATGTGCATGTGGAGAAAATCATTTACTCTACTCAACGTGCATAATATCCCGCAGCACAAGTAACGTGGGCTTCCCAAGCGAGAAACCGTCTTGCATATTAACAATATTGGGGGGTCGATAAGGCAAGCTGTTCGTTTATCGTCTTTTTTGCCTGTTTTGTCGGATAAACCCATCCGGTACCGGAGAAGTCGGTTGCGGTAACCTGGATATTTCTTTCCAACGCCTGTCAAGGGAGGGAACTTTCTCGTGCATGTGCATTGTGCGTTTCAATTTTATTTTAGAGTAGAAAGGTAAAGTTATGTGGGTAGGAGGTTAATGACCAATATATGCAACTGACTCCTAAGAAGCAAGCCGCTTGCTCCTCTAGCTAATCGCCGAAATGGCGATGTCATGATTATGGTGAGGGGGCGACGGTAGACGGTGTTGCTTTTAATTTGCGAGAAATAGGTGATGGAGTCGCTCGAGATAGAATAGTTGCGTAGTTTGTACCATATTCTACCAAAAGTAGGTACAGTTTTGCGGGAAAATTGAAGAAAAAGAAGGCTTGTTGATATGCAGTGGGACTGCAATATGCAGGTTACAGGTTAAGAAATCAATTTGCAGAGTGTCTCTCCTCTCTAATCGGAGCTGGATCCTCCCCCCCCGTGAAAAATAGAACTAAAACTCAGTTTTTGATGTTCAATCCATGTATATCACTGTGATGGTCAAGCTTAGGATATATATCCCTACCGGTTCGAATTAACGCAACGAGGATTCCACGATCGATTAAAGTTTTTCAAGACGTTTAATATTGGATAGAGTTATTTAGTTTCAACGCACTCACCTCGAAGCTAGATACTAAAGCAGACCGAGTGCCGAGCTAGCAGGCTGTATTCTCGGAATCGAAGCCTTTGTGAATAGGAGCATCGCCGATAAATCTTCCGCGTTGCCGTGTGGGTTCCTAATATTTAGTTGGTTCCTTATTGGATTCGATTACCGAGGAGCCGTGCCGGTAGGATTGTTAAACCCTGATTACTTGGTTTGCACCTCAATAATTAGCAAGGGTACATCTAAAGTTTCACATGTGAATTATATCATATCAGAGACCAACTAGCTTAATTGTACTTACTTACATATGTATCTATGTACATGAAACTACATTCTACGTGTAATTTAGAGGTTAGCTTCGATAATCGAGGAAACCATCTAATTATCGGGCGAATAAATTAGGCTTTACTTACTTAACAGTTTTTTTAAGCACTGAAGCATAAGCCAAGTCAAGGTGCGGTGAGAATTGACACAAGCGCTAGCTGAATTTGGGTAAACGACAACGGTCATGAAATCGAGTGAGGTTTCATGATGCATATCCTAAAACCCCAGACTTAAGAGTTATATATAATATGCCGATGACTTTACTCTTTGATCATGGGAGCTGTATTCCTGCAAGAAAAATGAAACATAAATCTGCAAATTATTTGTGGATACCCAAAGTTGATGGATCTCCCCACATGCTGCAAACTCATCTCTTTGTAAGTCAAGTTGTTGCAATGTTCAGAGTCACATTGGTTAGCCCACAGTGCGGCATAATCGCGAAAAGTGTTGACAAGTTATTCTATAAATCTTTCCCGAGAAAAAAAAACGGGACGGGAACACAAGGTGAACCGGCTTCAATTGAGACAGACTGTCGATGGATGGAGATTCTGCAGAACGATTTCGATCGTACGATCCGTATTACCCACACGGAAGGATATGTGCGTAGAGACATGGCCCATGCTAATATCTGAAAAGGATGGATACATATGCGTACATCAAGGCTGCTGCTGGCCTTGAATCGGGATGTGCACATGGAGATTCTCTGGTGCTTGATTCGATAAGATAACAGCGAGTCTTTATCAGTAGTCATGATTGTAATTCGATCCTTTTCCCACGGGTTCATCACCAGTGCCTGGTTGCAATAGGTTCTACCTATTTGTGTAGAGATTAGTGGAGTATCACGTGATATATGGGCGGCTCAAAGTGTCGCAGATTTTTGAAGTTTTTTTTAGGTCCATACTAGAGTACATGTATGCACCACTGAAAGGCAGAGGAAACTCCAAGTGGTACGGTTGTTTAGAGTCTGAAGGCTCACAGTGTGTTGTAGCCCCTGGCATGAGATGTTGTGTAACACCTCCTGAGTTAGGTAAAGCAAGTATGGAACAACTGCAGAAACTTCTACTTAAACCGCCTTTCAAGGCGTACTATTTCATGTACCTTATGTATCCTTGTTTTGTAAAGTTATGTTTCTGGTATTTGATTTAGTCATCAGTGGTTTTCTCGGGGAACACTACATTTTTCCGCCAATAATAATAAAGGATGTTTAAGTAACTGCATTAGACCTATGGGAAATGTCCAAGTGCAAGACAATAGTACCCACACTTTCTCTCCTTTTGTTCTATTGGAATATTTCAAATGGGATACTCATCATATTCCATCGGTGGCTTTCTGACTCCCCGGGTCCAGGAGATAGTTTGATTCGACACGTAAGTAAGCATCCATTTCATTGTATCTCTCGAGGCCTCGTTGTATCCGAAGCATTGTAGCTGCATTTCCCCACATAATTATCGAACATCGACCATGTTCAGCTATTGGCCAACGATATTCAGGGTTACCTGAACTGCAGTATGTACCTGGTACATGCTTCTTCCGGATCTTGGGTACATGGCCAAGACAATGCCCTGAATGGCTGGATGAATAAAGAGAGGTCATCAGATGAAAACTGGGTTTTCTTCCATACCACTGGGCCTTTACGGATAACTATAGTGGATCGACACGTCAGTACTTCCAAGGAAGTAGCGCATAAATTTTTCTATTTGACGACTTGCAAAATTCTTTGTTAGGTTATACGTTAAACTTACATGTAGCCATGGAAGCCTGCTTTGATTTTGTTCCTTTTTGTAAGTTACGGAACGAAATAACCACATAATTGCGCACGCCTTGTTGCTCGTAACTCGCGAGAATCTTTTATATTAGTTTCAGTTAGTGTTAGGATGTTAACAACGTGTCCAGTTTTGATAGATTACTCGCGGTTATACTATATCTACAACAAGCCTTTGAAAATAGCCTAGTTCGTCATTGAAGGGGTCAGAAACCGTTCATGCAGGGCAGATGAGTTAATAATGTTTGCTATCGGTAATCGTCTTGGCTACTTCTTAACCAGTGATATAGAAGATAAAGCCGATTTGTAAAAGCTACACGATCGGACAGGTGTGGGATTGACGATTGGTGCCTTATGTTTTTCGATGTTCGTTGTCTTCGTATGCGGTAAATGTATACAGGACATGTAGCTATGCTAGCAGTGGGCCCTGACATGAAAAGTCGCACACGGAGCCTAGTAGGTGGAGAGATCGTGATCAGTAAACACGTCATACTCTGGTTTCAAATCGCACTTCTTCGGTTCATGTTTGTACTCAAGTCTGACATAAATGACATGCACAAGATTTCCGAAAGCAACGACACAGGTCCAAATCGATGCATATTGAGTGTGGTTCATCCGAATACTAAGTGACTGAACATAAAACAAGGGTTCGCTCTCGGCACACTCCGGCGGGAATGCATGCGTGTGGGTCTCAAATATCTATAAAAAAAACTTGGCTGTTGAAGAGATCTCGTCATGTAGCTGATCAAGTGACAGTTTCATATAATGAATACCTATAGAAGATGACCATCATCGATGTCCTACCCCAGAAAGACCCAAAAAGTAGGCCTTATAAGATGGCGAATATTTCCGTTAATGTTATAGGATATGTAAATATGTAGCCACGGTAACATAATTCGAGCATTCCACCTGACTTGCTCGATATTGAAGGAAAGGTTAGCCCGCGTCAGTCGATAAATAATTCACGCAGGTACCTTTGCGCACCCCTGAAAGTAACGCGCCAAATCCCAAACGACACTTTAAAGGTTCTTGTTAGAGTGGGGTTTCGGGTGGATGCAGATAACTCAAAAGCAGTAGGTGTTAAATTTCAAAGATGACTACGCTCATCAACTCATGATGTCTGCATTCAACATGAGACATTTTCTAATAGAATCGCCGGTTAACCTTCTTCACCGATGATCTTTTAGCCACAGGAGGCGCTGGATCCGATTGATCTTGCGCAGGAGCTCTGGGGGAATCCGCTTTGCAGCTCTTTGTATTGGTTTCAAACCCCATTATAGCCCTGCATGTAATATAAGACAAATCCAGCTGGGCGTTGCAATGATCCCTAGGAAATTTATTTCTTCTTCTTTCAAATAATTGAAGTCTTTGTCTATTTGCTATATATCTGGATTGCGATTGCCGTTGGGAATTGTTCGCTGTTATGTTTATGGCCGTCCATTAGCTTCTGGTAGCTCTATGTCTCTTATGTGTACAGGTGTATTGGACCGCTGGATTATCAAAGCCTACAACTGAATTTCTTCGAGTGATCACTGAATATTCTCTAACCCTCCTCCCACAACGCACAAGGCGAATCCTTTTGTACCGTAAGGACTAGTAAGAGCCAAGACTTCAGGACGG